AGACAGCTGCTATCTGGTATTGGGAAGGGCACACAAGTGGCCTTAGGGGAACTGCACAGGCTGACAGCAGCAAGGCCTGGGGCCTGCTGGCTCACACAATAGGTCACTGCAGACTAGCTGGGAACAGTGTGGCCACCATAGGCTCAGAGCAGCCAGTACTTGAATTCTCACTTAATCCTGTCTCATAGCTGATGAAACTAAAGCTCAGAGAGATTAAGTGGCATAAATGATAGGGTTGAGATTTCACCCCAGGTCTGCTTAATTCCAGATAATAGACCACATGCCCATTTTTTGAGGACTCCCTAAGTGCCAGGATCTATTTAAGTGCCCTGCACACATACAGTTCTCATTTAGCATTCATGACACCGTTTTAGTGAAATATTGTTATCTTCCTTTAAGAGACCTGAGTCACAGAGAGGCTAAGTAACTTGCTCAAGGTCATCCAGCACTATCCATCATGACATATTACCTTAAATATCATCTCTAACAACTAAAGATTTTGATTATAAACCATTGCCCAGAGGTAAATTTTCTCCAAAACTGTAAAGCAGGGACATCTAGAAAGTGATCCACAGCAAGGTGGACATTTCACCTGACACACCTGTCTGCCCCGTTCCTATCCTCTGCTGCTCCATCCTCTTTCCAGGTCCCAGGGGATCCCAGCCTGGGAGGGGAAGGCTGTAGGTGTCTCTGAGGCAGAAGGGTGCAAAGTCCAGGCCAGGCCCCACCCTGCAGGGCGCCTGCTGGGCCTGCACACATGGCGGCATTAATAGGTAATGATGCATGGGAGGAAGAGCAGTGTGCTGGAAACACAGAGGCCTGAGGCCTTTTGAAGCTTGCAGAGCCTGGGGAGAAGGAATAGGAATAGGGGTGAACCCGGAGTTGAGTCAAGTATTAGAGATGCTAGAGATGATGGTCTCAAAAGAGGCAAAGAGTAGGAACCCCAACAAAAGGGTAGATGGCAAAAGAAAACCTGACATTATTTTCAGCCAAAGGGCAAGAAAGTGAAATTCAAGCCCAGTGTGGGGGATGGGAGGTTGAGTTCCTAGGAAGTGGGTTGCCTGAAATCTACACTCACCACTGTCGTAAGCGGCTGAAATTTCTCCCCACACATCCCTTTGCAGCAGGATGCACTGGTGAACAGGGTCAAATGTTCCCCTTGATATTCCCTCCCCCGCTAACTCCTGCTGAACTTCCAGCTACCTCTTATCCCCAAGAGCAGGATCTGGGATCCCCAAGGTCTTGCTTTGTTTGAGGAGACTTCTGCCAGTATGACCTGTTCCCTTGTTCCCCTACCAAGCCTTTGTCCCAGAACTCAGTGCCCTGCCATGGGTCACCACTGTAGTTTCTCCCACTCTTATGACCAGCAATTTGAGGGCACCAACTGGGTCTGGCATAGAGTGAATGCTCAAACCATGTTTATTAAATTGAGCCCTGGCTGGTAGGCTCAACCCTCTCTGGCCCTTAGCCTCTGTGGTCCCAAGGGCTGGCTCCTGGGCTCCTCTGGGCTTCTCTTCAGGTCAGGAGGGAGAAGCGCCCTGATGTTGCCCCCTCAGGCGGGAAGGGGTTTGGTCTGTCTAAGGACACTGCCCCTTGGGGCTCTGGGGGGGCAGATACCCCTGGCTTCACCCTCATCCAATTGCCTGCTGGGGAGGCCCATCCACTGAGTCCCCTCAATAGCCCTCTCTGGCCTTGGGAACTCAGCAGATCCTGTGGAGCTTTGGAAACAGCCCTGGAAATTCCCTGGGTGGGATCTGACAGCTTCCAATAAAAGTCTTTGAGGACCCAGGACATCAATGAGTCTGTCACTGGAACTCACAGAGGAGACAGGACTCTGCTGCAAGGAGCCGGGGACCAGGCCCAAGCTCCTTACACCCACATCGCCTCTTCCCTACTTCCCCACAGCTGCCTCTCAGTCCTAAGAAATGGTTCTGGACAGGGAGGGGCTCCATGACAGGCTCCTAACTCATCTTCAGGCCTTGAGGTTAAAGGGCAGAGAGAGGTGTCCAGTTTCCTTTCTCCATTCCTTGCTCTCAGACACTGCCCAGGAGCTCACCACCTGCTCCAACCGTCCCAGGCTGCGGTCAGTGGGAGGGAGCGACCTCAGAGAGTGTCCTCTCCGGGCAAGGCTGGAAGGAATCCCAGCCCCAGAGAGTTCTGAGCTCCCGAGGGCAGGACAAAGGGCATTTTCCGGAGGTGTAGCAATGTAGCAGCCCCTTCAACTGGACTCCGGGGCCCCTCCACTCATTTTATTGGAGGTCCCTGCTGGGAGTCAAACGGACCCCTCCGAGGTCCCCGCCCAACCAAAGCCCTCAGGCCAGACGGGAAAAGGAAGCGTAGCTGGGGATGTCCTTTTCCCCCCACCCCCAAGTCGCCCGGACTCTTGAGTCCGGGTGCTTGGAGCACCTCTCGCAGCTCTGACCTTGTGCCGAAATTCTCGGGCCACCTTCCGGTCCATGGCTGGGCCGGATCAGCCGCGTCGCTGCACGACCCGCTCCTTTGGGTGCCCGGCTGTCGGGAGTTGGCCAGAGAGGCGCCAGGGACCAGCGGGCCTCCCCCGGGACCAGGGCGGGGGCTGGGAGTGGGGGCGGGGTCTTGGTGGGAGGGGCTTGGAGGGGCGGGGCGGCCGCAGGGAGGCGGGAGGGGCCTGCCCTGAAGCATCGCCTCTCACAGAAGCCCAGAGGGAAAAGTGGCCTCCAGGATGTGTGTGCGCTGGCTTTCCTTTTAAAGTGATTCCCAAACACGAGGTTGTGGAAGAGGATCGTGGAGACTCGGGGAGGTTTGGACTTTTTTTGTGTGGAGAAAATGTGGAGATCTCTTCACCTTGGTCATCTACCTGACCTTCACCCAGGGCCCAGACCCCCTGGTACATTTGATTCAATTCAGTCACAGTGTGCTTACCTTCTAGGTGCGAGGCTGGGAGCAAAGAGGAGGAGGAGGACGACGAGGCAGCAGACCTGGTCCAATGAGAGGAAGAGGGGTGATAAAAAAACGAGTGCCTGGCAGAGGCTGGGCAAGTTAACTATGGAACTTATGCTAGACCTGTTTGCACCATGTCAGTCACCCAAAGCAACTAACTTCTAAAATTGTGACTTCAGGCACATGTGAAGGTCCCCTTTTGGGATGGGCATGCAGCTCAGTGGGAGAGCACCTGCTTAGCATGCAGGTGGCCCTGGGTTTGACCCCTGGCACCATGATTTTTTTTTTTAAGTGGAAAAGGACCTTTATCTAGATCCTTCTCCCAATAGCTGAATTTTTGCATGTAGACTATTTTCTTATGGGTAAATTATTGCCTAGTTTAAGATGTAAATTCCTCCTGAAGAGCCTTAAACTATTATCCATGTTGTGTTAGTCAGAGATTAAAGAGGAAGACTTGGGAGATTTTCACTGGTCCAGAAAAGAAAACACAAAATATTTTCCCCTCCAACTGACTGATTCTCACTGATTCTCTACATTCCTTAAATGTGTTATGTGGCCGCTTATTTCATATTTAGAATGGTAGAGTGGAAAATGGCCTTACCTGGGACAGTGCAGCCCATGGCCACCCTGTCCTCTCACACGACCACAGCCCCAGGGACTCCCTGCTCCCTCAAGCTTTCTGCTTGGTTTTGATGACAGCACTGAGTCCTGGTTTTCTTCATGAATGTCTCTCCTCAACCTTCTTCTGAGACCATCCTGCCATCTTCCATTCCTTTGCCAGTGTTCTTTTGTTGTTGGTGAATATCTCATGTAATTTATTGAATACTGTACTGAAAGTGACGAACAATGGTTGTGTGTGTACACATTTGTACCGCTGAAAAGCTGAAGAATCCTAGGTTGGGGACGGTGTATACAGCACTTCAGACCTGGGTATATGTCATTGCAGAACCTTCTTTTTCACTTAATGCTAATGTCTTAGGAACTTTTCCATATTGCTGTAGAGTTTTCTAAGCCATCATTATGTGCTTCTAAGTCGGTAGAACAGTTGAATCCATTCCCCAATGAACCAGTGTTCGTTAAGGCTCCATCCTCAACTGTCTCTTCTTTACCTCTCCCTCTATGCCTATGGCTTCAGGTACCCTGTGTGAGGATAAGTTTACCACCCTATGGCTGGAGCAGTACATGACATAGAATAGATCAACAAATTTGATAAATGAATGAATGCATGCATGCACCTTAAATTAGACCCCTGCCTGGGTGTCAAGTGTCAATTCCTCTTCCTTCTCCTTCTTCTTGTTAAAATTATTTGTAAGGTCTGGCATCTAGTTGATGCTCTGTAGTTAAAGTTGGCCAAGTGAACATTGTACAAGTTCCCAAGGCTCTCAGGCCCAAATTTCACTATTTAAAAATTTCTCCTGGGCAAAGTATACCTTGTTGTTTGTGTCAAAGTTTTGTCAGGGTTTGTTAAAGGTTTATTTATTTATTTATTTATTTTTGTACTGGGAATCAAAGTCGGGACCTTACACTTGCGAGGCAGGCGGCGGCACCACTGAGCTAAATCCCCAGCCCTATTTACTTATTTTTCAATGTCTGATCTTGATGGAGGTAATGAGACATTCTACTAGTATTTCCTGAGCCAGTGCTGGCATCCAGGGGACTAAGGTATGGGTCATTCCCCAAAGGGGTAGGATAGGGATTTAGGGGTCCAGTGGAAGTGGTGATTGGGAGCCATTGGAAGCACAGGTTAGGGTCCTGCAGGCCTGAGCCCTGGCTCTGCTATGGATGCTCACAGGTCATTGATTGGCATGTCCCAGGCTCTGCATGGCCTTGTGTAAAAGGAGAGGGTGGGGCCAAATTCTTTCCAGCATCTCTGGTCTCTGAGTTTCCAGGACCCAGGTCGGGGAGCTGGAGGCTGCACAGACAGAGGCCTTAGGGCTGAGCGATCTGAACCCAGCGTTCCCTGGGGAGGGGTAGCCACAAGACCAAGAAGGGCAGAAGCGCATAACTTATGATAATAAGGTGGGCGGTCCTGTCACTCTAGCTCGGGGAGGAGCCAAGCTCCCAGGAGGAGAGCCCGACTGAGGGGTGTGAGAGGGAGACCCAGAGGAGCCGCGGCGCCGCGTGCAGGTGTGACCCTGCCCAGTCCGGGAGAGTCGCTTCAGCCCGACCCTGCGTTCAAGCTCCCCGGTCCCCGCGAGCCCCTATGGGAGCCAGAGCGCCCGCGCTCTGCTTGCTACTCGCTAGCGTCTGGCTGCCCCGAGGTGAGCCGGCCCGGGAGTATCTTCGGGTGCAGCAGCTGAGAGCACTGAGGAGGTCAGGCTGCTAGAATGTTTAGGACAACAGTCCTGGGCGGGTTGGAGAGAGGAGGAAGACAGGTCAGACGGCAGGCTGAGGGCCCCGGGAGAGGGAAGGTGGAAGGCAAGAGAGACCCGTGAAGAGGGCAGTCGGCCCTAGGCTGGGCAAGGTGGAAGAGACTCAAGGCAGGGAGCCAAGGGAAACTGGGCCCCAAGGAGTGGGAGGAAAGAGGGAGACCCTTGTCCCAGAAGGTCACCAGGGGGCTGAGAAAGACCTGACTGAGAAGGCTGCAGGGAGAGAGAAGGGGTGATGTGAGAGAGCCTTCCTAGAATATGGGGGGCCAGGTGGGAAGCCCCAGCAAAGGGAGGCCTAACTCCAGTGGGGATGATCTCCCCTCCCCAGCCACAGCCCCCACAGTGCCGGCCAGAGCACAGCCCTCACCCCAGCCAGCCCCGGAACCCAGGTGAGTAGGTGCGCATTGGTGCCCCCATCTTTGTTCCTTCCGCAAGGGACCCCAGGGGCTCACTTAGCATGCAGGGTGGGGTGGGGGAGGCATGGTCATTCTTAGCCCCCCACCCATGCCGGGCTTGTTTCTCACCTAGCCACAGCTCCCCGGAGGTGACCCTTGCCATCGGGGATGCCACCACAGTGATGGGAGGCCAGGTGAGTGAGGAGGGGAAGGAAGAAGGTGTCACTGGGGAGGGGGTTTCTTTCTGTCTGGGCCTGAGGCCGCTAGGGAGCTCAGCAGGTTACAGGAGGACTGTGTCGGAACAGGAGGGAGCAGACAGGTTCCTGCTTTGTGTCTGAAATGTGCAGATGGGTAAAACACTTCTGTGCACACTTTCCTAATCACATGGGGCCCTGTAGTCAGCACAAGGCCTTTTCGGGACACAGCTGAGCTCTTCCCTCCCTCCTCCAGGTGAAAGCAGGCAGGTGAATGTTTAGGGAGTAGAGTTCTCTTTTCCCTGCCTGGTCTGCAGAGGCTGTCAGCCCTGTGACAGGCCCTGATCCATACCTGTTCCAATGCCCCTAGGAATGCTACCCTGAGAGGAGAGACAAAAACTGGGCCACCTGGTGAGGGTTTCCAGGAAGAGCTGGCCAAGGAGCAGAGCCCTGCCCTACTCTCCTTTGTGTCCTGGCCATTCTCTGTGGCCAACCCTCCTGGGGTCCTCTATTTGTAGGAGAGGTGGCAGGTTTGTTTTCTCCCTTTGCAAAACTTTGTTGGTCTCTGGGCCACGTTGACTCAGGTTCTCCTTTGAATCCTGGCCTGCATTTGTCTCCCTTTTTCTGCCATTGCAGACATGTGACACAGTCAGCCCACCTGTGCCACGGTCCCCAGGGCAGCTTAAGCCTCAACTCCTGTGCCCCAGCCCAGGCATCAGCCCTGGGTAGCCCGTGGGGCCAGCAGGCTGAGGAGCAGCATTTACAGTAGAGAACAATGAGCCCCAACTATGTGCCCTTTTGAAAATAGGTATGAAGGTCCAAGGTGGGCCGAGGTGAGGTGGGGTGGGCATACCTCCTCTCTAATGTGGATTTACTGGGTGTTTTACTTTTTGTTTGTCTAATCCTTGCTGGCTCCAAGTTTTAGAATCACAGTCAGGTACACTCGGAGTTGAAGTGGAGTGTAGTCATTCTTTTTACAGCTAGAGAAATGGAGGTAGATAGATGTCTTGCCAGGGCCTCACGGTGAGCCGGTGGACCAGAGTCTTCTGGTGGATCCAGGGCTGTCCCTCTGCCTGGCGGGCTCCATGAATCCACACATTTTAGTGGAGGAAATGATCCTTACCCGAATGTGCCATTCCTCAGTGGGCTCCTTCCTTGCTGGCTTCCTTTTTCTTTTTTTTCTTTTGGTACTGGGGATCGAACTCGAGTCCTTAGCTTGCAAGGCAGGCGGTGGAACCACTGAGCTAAATCCCCAGCCCAAGGCTTCCTTTTTCTTTGGAGAGGGGTCAGAAGCATCTGGACCAGGCAATCCAGGCAGCTCTCTCACCTTGCTCCAGAGAGCAATAAGGACGTAGACTGGCCTTTCTAAAAGGTGACTGGAGGGGATGGGAAGAGACTGAGGTCCATGTACCGGGGACACTTTTAAGGGGCACCATTGAGAATGCCCTCAGTGGGAAGAAAGTGGAGTTGGGCCCCAGACCAGCAGCTGCCAAACTTCATTTCAAGGCTGCCCACTTTGAGCTCAGCCATTCTCCAGAGAACTGATGGTGTAGGCCAACGGGTCTATGAATTTGGATGAGAAAAAAATTCATTGTTATTTTCAGAAACCGCAACCCATTTGAAATTGAACATGCCTTTCAATTATTGCTGTAGGCTACAAATGGCAAGAGTATTACCAGAGTTGGTGACTGTCACCGATAGAAATCATAGATATTTTCCTTTCACATTACAGTTGTTCATATCTCAAGATACCATTGATATTCATCAATACTTTACAGTTTTGGCTGCGAAAAACCTGCTGTTAAATCTTGTTATTTCGTATGTTAGTATGCACATGCTTCTTTGAGCATAAATATTACAAAAGTACACACTTTAATTATATTATAATAGACTTGATATCCTTTGTAAACTTATATTTTATTTTATGTATTTAAAAACACTGTTCTGAGAAGGTGTCTATATAAACTTCACTAGATTTTCAATGGGGTTCATCAAATACAAATGATTAAGCAAATCATTTGGACAGGACTTAAAGAATTCTCCAGAAAATAGCTTTGGTGCTCAGTCTTTTTTATCCTCCTAACATGAATCTGAAAGGCCATATCTGAGGTGGGAGCAACGTGTTGAACACAAAGTCTAAGCTTAGTTAAGAGTCCTCCCCCTGGAGGAAAGGTGGTGGCACTTACCCTGGCCCTGCCCTTTGCTATTCCTGTGGTCTCCCTGGGCCACAGGTTAGATTACTAGGAGGATGGGTTGCCTGGCTCCTGGGGCTGGCCTGAGTTTCTGGATAAGCTCAGGTACTAGAGTCCAAAATGGGGTAAGAACATGGAAACCTGGAAACCCTGACCTCCCAGGGGGTCAGAAGGACATGGAGAGGGAGTTAGTATGAGATAGGGTGACTTTGCTGGCCAAGGAGGGCCAAAGGTTTGGGCCTGGGCTCCAGGGACCAAGACTTCTGAATACTGGGTGTGTTCTCAGTGCTTTGCTGGAGGCTGGGGGTTCAGCCTCAACTTGCAGGGATGACAAGGAGGAAGGAAGACATGAGAGGCAAACACCCACAGTTTGGTCTGTGGTGTGTTAGCCCTGTGAACAAGAACGTAGGTGCCATGAAGGTAGACACAGTGCCTGGGAGGCACATGGTGGTGGGAACTTTGCACTGTGAGGAAGTTGAGCCTCTGAGAGGCAGGAGCCCCTGGTGTCAGCGTTCAGCCCCAGGTGACATTAGACCTGTTGGACTGGAGTTCTGAGAGGTCAAGTGTCTCTGTCACCTGTCGTGTGGTGACCGAGCGCGCCGAGGTTCAGAATGGTGTGTTCAGATGGGTTAGGCCTGGAGGTCCCTGTCTGGGGAGTTCTGTTGGAAGCCAGGATTTATCAGCTCCCCTTTGCAGGTCTCCTCCTCAGATCTGTGGTCCCCGGTCCCCAGGGCATCTCAGTTCCCAGGACAGTGGGTGGTGACTGTGAAGGCTGTTGTTGGACAGGCCCCAGGGGAAGGGGGTGGGGCGAGGGGCTGCTTTTGGTCCTTAGCTCAGTCTCAGGTTTGTTCTCCAGACAAGGGGTTTTGTGTGGGGCTGTGAAGGACACACAGGTTTCCTGAGGAGGGAGCTGAGGGAAGGAGGGGGCCTGGAGCATGGAGAGGGATGTGCTTAGGCTGCAGACCTTGACAACCTGCCACAGATGCCACTTTGGAGGGGAAAAGCCGAGCCTTCACTCCCCAGGCCCAGGGCACCCCTGTATCTCTTGTGGGGTGAGCTGAGGAGGCAGAGTGGCCTCGGCGCCAGCCCTGAGGGGAGGGGGAGCTCCCTCCCTGCAGGTGAGGACCAGAGGAGCTGTGACCTCAGTAAGGCCACCCAGGAGCTGGCCCTGAAGTCAGCCCTTGACTGTTATCCTCTCCTTCCTGTCTCTAGAAGGAGGCTGAAGCCCTGGACGCCTTGGCCGTGTCCTCCTGGGAAAGGTGGCTCCATCGGGCCAAGTGTGCCCCGGCTTGTGAGTGGCTCCCTCCCCGAGGCCTGTCCAAGGGAGGGCCTTGGCCACAGAGAGGGGCTTCTCTTCCCTGCCTGGGGACTCTTTCCACCTTCCCTAGCCCTGACCGCCCTGGCCTGCCTTCTAACACTGTGACTCCTTCCCTCACCGCACTCTGGTGGACCTCATCTTCTTGTCCTCGGTGGCCCTTCTTGATACTGTGTTCCCACATGTCCCCCTACCCCATGTTCTGCTTTGCACCCTGGCTTCTTCCCCAACCTCACGAGGCAGTGAACCTCTCCGGGCAGTCTCCCAGCTCACCCCATGCTCCAAGTCCATAGTCTCTCTCCACTGCCTTGCCCGCTAGCCAGGAGTTCAGCTCAGGGAATTGTTGGCCCAGGTGACACATACCAAAGGCAGAGACTCTGAGTCCCTGTCCCATCTGCCATCCAGGGAAAGGGCACCCGAAGGCCCCCTTCAGGCTACACGCTGAGTGCTGGGGTTGCCTGGGGGCGGGGCTGCCCAGGCGTGAGTAGGTGGGCATCACTGGGTTCTGCTGGTCTTGGTTCCGTGTTTCCCTGGCAGACTTGTTCTCCTGTTTCAATGGGGGTGAGTGTGTGCACCCCACCTTCTGTGACTGTAGACGCTTCAATGCGACTGGACCACGCTGCCAGATGGGTGAGTCTGGGCCCCAGGAGGGCCCTCGGGTACTGGGAAAGCTGTGGGCCTAGCAGTACTGGCAACCTTTCCAGGGCTGGAACCCACAGTCCCCCTCCTGTGCCTGTCTCAGCTGTGCACTCACTTCCCCTGCCTCAGTGTACAATGCCGGCCCTGAGCGGGACAGCATCTGCCGAGCGTGGGGGCAACACCATGTGGAGACATTTGACGGCCTCTACTACTACCTCTCTGGGAAGGGCAGCTACACATTGGTGGGGCGCCATGCACCTGAGGGACAGAGCTTCTCCATCCAGGTGAGGCCTTCCCTGCCCTATTTGCCCTGGAAGCTGGGCTGCCCTGGGCTCTGCTTATCCCACAGAGGCTGGCACCTTCCTGTCCCTTACACCTCCAGTTCCTGCCCAGGGAGTCTGCACCTGGAAGGAGTCAGGGGCACCAGAAAGAGCCAGCTCTTGCTCACCTGCTCCCTCATGGCCCTGGCCATTCATTCATTTAGTCACAAATTCATTAAGTATTTAAGTGCATATTGTACCCTTTTCTGGGAACAAGATTTGGTGGCCGGAGGCCCTGAGAACAAAAAATAGATACGGTCTTTATCTTCATGGGACTTTTGGTTTTATGGAGAAAACAAACAATAAATCAAGTGAATCATTTCAAGAGCAACTGGGTGCTGTAGAGGAGAAATGCCAAATGCTAAAAGTCATGTCACTCAAACCTAATCTTGTTTATTAGGGAGGGTGATGATTAGAGAAGCTTCTTGTAGGAAGTGACATTTAACTTGGGATCTGAAGAAAGAATTAATGGGTGGGGGCAAATGTGACAACACTATGCAAAGGGGATGCTGGGAGCTAAGGGCCGGGATAAGAAAAAACATGGTGCCTCAGAGGTGACAGAGAACCTGGGTGACTCAGTTTAGAGGCACCGCTTCTAAGGAGCCTCTTGGATCTCCTAAAGTCCCAAAGAACTGAGGAGCTCCTCTCAGGGAAACACGACCCCAACATGGCTTGTCTCTTACAAGGCCTGTGTCTCAGTTACGTCCTCTACTGGATGGGAGCTTTTCTAGGGCAGGGGCCATGGCGCTGCGTTTGGTATTCCCAGTGCCTAAATTAGTGCTCAGTAAAATATGCTTGTCAAATAGGTGAATAGTTGTGTGAGAGTCACTGTCTTGCAGACCTGATTTGCACACCTACCTGTGTGTTGAGGGGGAGCCCCCTTCGGCCACAGGCCAGTGTATCTCCACCTAGAGAAATGTCTACCTGGGGATGCTGCTCTGCTGGAGGGCACCTTGGTCAGCACTGAGTTAGGGCCAAAGGACTGGGGATTTGAGAAGATCCTAGCTGTCTGTCACCTCTCTGCCAGCCAGGGGTACTCCTTCTGCCTCAGGCTGTCCTGGGGGGTGTGGCCTGCACAGGCTGAGGACCTTGATCAGTTCTCCCCTCTCTGCCTTGGGCTATCACACAGCAGTGTTTTTCATGACTGTGTCATTTCATGATGGATGTGTCACAATTACTTAGACTAATGGGATGCTGCACATCAGTGGGTTAGGAAATAAACATCATGAGTCACATCCAGCATTAAAAAAAAGAGAGAAAAAATAGAAAATATTGTAACAATGCATTATTATTATTTTTAAACTTTGTTTTATTTATATATATATTGCTTACTGTGAGTCATGGTCAAAAAAGCTTGAAAAACATTTAGTTAGACCGGGAGTGGCTTTTGCAGGTCCCACCTTTAGTTGAAGTGTCTCCAGCCTGCTTAACCACATTTAATAGTGATCTAGTCGAAGGCAGGTTCCCGGGAGGCCCTGGCAGACCCCTGCCCCATGCCCTGCCCTGTGGATCTGTAGCCTTTGAAGTACAGGATCTGCATGAACAGGCACAGAGACGTATGTGGGCCAAGCAGCGAGGCAGTGATGTGTGTGGCTGTGTGGGCAAGGGAGGTCTAGTCGGCCTGCCAGGGCTATGTTTATAGTGAGTGTGTGCCCTGAAAGTGTCCTCCAGTTATGCGTGGTGTGCATGTTTGTGTTCCATATGAGTGTGAGCCTTCAATCTGGTGGGATAACCTGGGAGGGGTAAATAAAACAGTCAGAAACAGGGAGGTGGCACAAAGATCTGGAGAGAGCACTGAAATCTGAGCTATGCAGACCTGAATTAGCATCCTGGCTCTGCCATTTCCTAGCTGGGGTGTGAATGTGATCTCAGTCACTTCCTCTCTACACACCAGAACCCCTCCTCACTGCAATGCAGACAGTCATAGCTCCAACCTCCCCGTGGTGCCTGGGACTGGGAGAGGTCACAGAGGAAAGGCGCTTGGTCCACCAGGCAAAGCATTCATTTTGTATGAGGAGAAACTCAACAAGGCCTGCAGCTTGTGGCCAGGCCAGTGACAAGAGCCCGCCTCTGAACGCCCCAATCAGGTGCACAATGACCCGCAGTGTGGCTCTGCCCCCTACACCTGCTCAAGGTCGGTCAGTCTCTTCCTCGAGGGTGAGCAGGAGATCCACCTGGCCAAGGAAGTCACCCGCGGAGGTGTGAGGTAACTCTGACCTTTCCACCCTGAGCTGTCCTCCTCCCCGACCTGAGGCAGGGGACATCTGCCTTTCTCAAGCCAGAAGGAAATACTTTTCTGGAGGCAAACAGTATTTTACACCATTAGGGTCAGTGTGGTTTCATTGGTGGGGTTGGCAGAAGGATGAGTCCCTCGTGGTTTTCTGTGGGCTTTCAGAGGGTAGATTTTAAGGAAAATGACAGAACTTTCTAGACAGTTGACAGTCTATCATGATAAATGGGCTTAAGTTTTTCACTCTCACAATTTGACAGAAAATCTTCCGGAATGGATCACAGGTTCCTGCCTGCTCTGAGCAGACACTGTGTACACTTTGGCCCTTTTTCTGATGGCACAGGCCCATTCTGAACATCAGTTGTCTCACTGGACCCAGGGACCACTTGAGTTGCGAAGATTCTTTGCTCCCACACTATCTGGCCCCAGACCGTGGCCCTGTATGAAATCTTTCTCACCATCTATTTCTTCCCTTGCTAACCTCTGTCACTGCAGGTCGCTGCCAGAGGGGTCTCTCCTGCAATGACTTTTTCCCATCCTCATTTTTTGCTTCCGATCTGGAAATTGGGTACCCAAGCTCTTTGGGGATGAGAGTAAAATTTGAAAGTCCAAGGGTTTCTCTGGCAGGGAAAACACTGGTATTCAGGTCTTTTAGTTTGTTAGATGGCACTTTTGTTTCTCTTTTCTAATTTTCAGCTGGGACAAAAGTTACTAAATTCCAGATTTGCTAGGAGTTGTCACCCTGGTAAGACTGGCAGCATTCCAGTTTTCCTCCTGTCTTGGCTTTTCTTCCCACACTATTCTTTGTCCTCACCAAAAAACAAACAAACAAAAAAACCCAAACACAAAAAAGTAGAAGTCCGCTTACATCTTTTCTCCTTTTGGGAGAAAGGAGCTGGAAAATTCAGTCACTCTCAGATTTATCCCAGCCAGGGAAATTGCAATTTTGCAAACTCTCCGAAGATAAAAGAATCCCTGTCCAGTGGTGTACTTCCGGGTACTTAGGAACTCTGGAAATTTGGGGAGAGGGGATGTGGACACCTCAGATCACTGGGTAAGGGTGCATGGTTCTTTGGTGAAGGGACGGAGCCATGAAGGTGACATGATGCCCTGAAGCCCTGGGCTGTGCCCTACAGGGTCCAGCTGCCACATGTGATGGGGGCTGTGCATCTGCAGCAGCTGGCTGGCTACGTCATCCTGCGGCGTCAGTCTGCTTTCACGCTGGCTTGGGATGGGGTCTCCGCTGTCTACATCAAGATGAGCCCAGAGTTCCTGGGCTGGACCCATGGGCTGTGCGGGAACAACAATGCCGACCCCCAGGATGACCTGGTGACTAGCTATGGTGAGACACAGGGCTAGAGATGTGATTTTGGTGTTGGTGGAGACTGAGTCAGGCTGGAGGGGCAGGAGGGGACTCAGGGAGAGCACTGGAGTCATGGTCATTAGTCTGCTCTTGATCGCACTGTGTTGCCCTCTCTGAGTTTAAAACAGTAAAAAACCACCCCAAGTTCTTGAGCACTCTGGACTATTGTGAGCAAACAGCTTTTCCAGGAGAAAGGCTCCGCTAGGAACCTCAGATGGGAATGGGAGCTCAGGAGGCTGCATTCTTCAAAACTGCCTACCTATCCCTGGCACCCACCTACCTTCAGAGCTCTCTGCTCCTCTTGTCCCCTCAACCCTGTGATGATACTAGTTCTCCCTTGCAGGGAAGCTGACAGAAGATATGGCTGAGTTTGTGCACAGCTGGCAGGAGCAGGCTCCCAACCACCCTCCAGGCACCACGACTGCCTCCCTGCCTCGCCCGCCATGCCTGCAGCAGAGCCCTGGAACCATGCAGGTCTGGGCCCTGGCAGAGTCCCCAGTGCCTAGCTATGGTTGGTTTCCTGTCTAATTCTTGGAAAGCCGTTGGCTTCAGGGGCCCAAGGTGTTCGGTGCCCATGCTCCCTTCCCTTTTCTTTTCACCCTTTTTTCTTCCTCTGGCTCCTGTTGGGGTTCCCTGCGGAGTTGGTTAATTTGGAGAGCTATGTATGGTCCTGCCAGCCCCCAGCCCTGGTTCCTGGCCCTTACTCTACCCAGGGTGTATATGAGCGCTGTGAGATGCTGCTGCGGTCCCCCTTTGATGCTTGCCATGCCTACGTCAGTCCTCTGCCCTTCACAGCCAGCTGTACCAGCGATCTCTGCCAGTGAGTGGGCAAACAGGAGTTAGGGGTGTTGGGATCCAGGAGTTGGTAATGTTGAGTTGTGGGCACCCCTCCCGGTATTGTGTTGAGGGTTCAGCCTGTGGGCCACTGAGCCTAACAATCCCAGGAAATGACAGAGCTACTTGCCAGAGCACTGGAATTCTTATCTGCCAAGGTGAGACAGAGCTTCCCCATTCAACTGAGGCCCCAAAGTGATCCCTTCAGGATCACACAGAAAGTCAGTGGCAATGTTAGGACCAGAATCCAGCTTCCCTGCCTTGAGTCTAGGGATCTGTGTACTTAGATGCTTTCCCAGCTCTCTTTCCCAGTTGAATGAGCAAAGGGGTGTCCTGAAGTTCTGGCCATCTCTATGGGATGCTGGGGGACTGGTGGCAGGCTAGGCCCTCCTCCAATGTGACCCTTGGTTTCCTCACACAGATCAGGGGGTGATGAAGCTGCCTGGTGCCGGGCCCTGGCGGAGTATGCCCGGGCATGTGCCCAGGCCGGGCAGCCCCTACAGGGCTGGAGGACCCAGCTTCGACAATGCAGTAGGTGCAGGCTGGTGGTGGGCAGGGAGGGCTTCTGACAATCCCTGACGTGGGCTGTGGGTGGCATCCTCAGGCCTCAGCTTGATATCTTGTTCTGCTCAGAACTACAATCATCAGAGCCTTATGCCCTAAGGTTCCATCTGCATGTAACAGATGGAGTAACTGAGTCTGAGAGTGGGAGAGACTGGCCTGGGCCCACAGAGTGACATGAAGATCTTTTTTAGAACCTCCCAGGCCCCCACTAATTTCCTGGGCACTTAGTACTTTCTCTGGGACTGGGGATGAGGAAAATCAAGACGTTCCTACTCCCATCCCAGGGCCTGGGGTGGAGGTGCATCCTGGTAGAATTGACCAACCAAGGGCTTCCTCTCTCTTAAGCTGTGCATTGCAAAGAGAAGGCCTTTACCTACAACGAGTGTATTGCCTGCTGCCCTGCCTCCTGCCAGTCCCGGGCCTTCTGTGTGGACAGTGAGATCGCCTGTGTGGATGGCTGCTACTGCCCCAACGGTATGCAGGGGTAGGAGTGGGGCTTGGCACAGGCGGGCATGAAGCAGAGCCCTGGAGGATGCCTGTTTGTGCAATGAGTGAAGCAAGGAGCAAACATCTAATTAGTGGATAAATGAATGAATGGCTTAAGGAGGTGAGGGTGGGGTGGAACTATGGCACCTTGTGGTGATCCCTCAGGGTATTTGATTTCACTGGGACTGAGCTTTGTAAGGCAGGTAGATGAACACATACCATTCATTCATCTATGCACACCCATGTATATAAACATTTATCTACATACACCTCTTTATCCTGTTTTTCGCAGTGTGTAAATCTGCCACACATCTGCAGTGTGTGACTGACCACAGGCATTGACTTTAGGAAGAAGAATCTGGTTTCAGGGATGACACACACTGACCCCATCCTAAGATATGCGGGCATAAAGAAGAGACATAGGGAAGAGATGGAGAGGGAGCTCCCGAGAGCCAGGGTACCCAAGCTGCTTCTAGACACATCACAAGCTTTTGGGGAGAAGCTTGTTAGTGTGCAGGTGGGGGTGGGCCTCTGAGCAAAGGTCTGGTAGTGGGGCAATTGGCCAGAAGGGGTCCAATTTAGAGGGGAGAGTTTGAAAGTGTCAGAGGTGAAAGAACTTGCATAAGAGAGTCTTTATCATGGAGCACGAGAAATCATGGACAGCTTGTGAACAGCGACAGAGGTGAGTTAAGTGGACCTTTGCTGTTACTCTAGGGCTGATCTTTGAGGATGGGGCCTGCGTGGCACCAGCTGACTGCCCTTGTGAGTTCCACGGGACCCTGTACCCGCCTGGCTCTGTGGTGAAGGAAGACTGCAATGCCTGGTTTGTGCCCACTGCCTGGGGGTTTGGGGCTGCAGTGGCTGTGGCTTCCCCTCAGGGCTGCTCAGCCTGAATCAGGAACCCTCCAACACAGGGGTCGTCACTCAGCTCCTTTAAGTTGCAGGGGACTGTGTGAGATCCATTCCTTTGGGGGGCTCTCCAGTACGGTATGTAGCTCAGGCCTGGGGAGTTACCCTCACCCCTGGTCTCTGTTCCAGCACCTGCACTGCGGGCAAGTGGGTGTGCAGCACGGCTCTCTGCCCAGGTACGTCTGACACTCACCTTGCCTCTGCTGCCTCCACTGGGTTCACAGGTTTTTGGGCAGAGATGCTCTGGGGGCCAGGCCTGATGAATGGGGCACTCAGTCCTTGGCTAAGAGCCCCCTTTATTTCTTCAGAATCACTGTGCCTAATAGATTGCTCCAGTCCCTTCCAGGAGGGATTTAAATGGGACCTTGTAGGTCTGAAGCCCTTCCTGAGCTTGGGGCACTTGAGCCCAAACTGATCCCCAAGCCCAGGGCCTGGTCTCCCTTCAGAGGCAGGGCTGTGTCTATCTTTGGAGGTCTCGAGGGGCAGTCCTCGAGGAGAAGGCTCTTCCCCTGCCTGGGTTTCGGAGGAGAAGGTGCTGGTCCTCCTCACACTGGAGCCGGCAGCTCCAATGGGTCAGCGGCCTCTCTCTGTCCCTCAGCTGAGTGCTCAGTGACTGGTGACATCCATTTCACGACCTTTGACGGCCGCCGGTACACTTTCCCTGCCACTTGTCAGTACATCCTGGCCAAGAGCCGCTCCTCGGGCACCTTTACAGTGACGCTGCAGAACGCCCTGTGTGGTCTGGTAAGGATGGAGCCCCCCCGCCCCCGGTCTAGAGCAGCCCCTAGAGGGACTAGGATTTGGGGCAGGGACCCTGGTCTTCCCATGTCCAGCTACCTGCAGCCTCTTCTGTCTGGGCAAAGCTAGGTCAGGAGACTGGGTTTTGGCCCTTGCCTCTCTACTGGCTGAGTCACTTCCCTTTCCTGGGCCTCTGTGTTTTAAAGAAATCTAAAAAACTTCCTTTTCTGTGCTTTGTTGGATTGGGCTTTCAACATGTCTGCATTCCTTCATTCATTGATTCAGCAAGTATCAATCACCTATTGGTGACAGAAGCTGTAGTATGTCTTAGAGGCTGGGTGTGTTAGACAGGGTTTGGCTCTCTTGGGCCTTACAGTTTGGAGGGTGAGGCAGATATGAGCCCTTAACCCACTGTGTTATAGCAGGGCAGGTGGGTCTCCGTGGAGAGACTTCTTACTGTTTTTGTTTCACTTGGGCATCGAGAGGCAGGGGGTGAAGTCTATCAGGATAGACTTCCTGGAGGAGGTGATCCCTGAGCTGTGTCAGCCACCTGTGAGCACAATTGAGAAAATGGCCGACTTGAAGCTTTGGGGTTGGTGTGGGTTTGCCTGTCTCTCAGTGGTGACTGTATTGTCCCTGGGCTAACTGCTGAGCCAACCCCACAAGCCCTGGTCTTCACAACAGAGCAGGAGCTCGCGAACACAGCCAGGCCAGACAGCCCTATCCATCTCTGGTGGCCTCGCTCCAGCCTCCAACCCCAAAGGCCCCACCCTCAAGCAGGTGTCTGCTGGACCTGCCTCTCTCTGGCCCTGGGGACCCAGGCTGGACTGTGGGGGATCAAAGCCTGGGCTGAGCAACCCATCCTTTCTCTCTGCTGGAGAATGCCCTAGCCTGCCCCCTCGGGATCTCTGCTCAGGAGACTGCTTGTCCTCAAGGGTGGGGCCGCTCCTGTCACATCCTGAGGGTGGAAAAAGAGAGGCTCCTCCCTCTCACAGGGCTCTAGACTATTCCGATCTCTGAGGGCTGTTGGGCCCCTGGATCTGCCTCGCTGCTGGACGGTGTCTCCTTGAGACTTCACAGACACAATGAACCTGTGGAAAGCCAGCCCTCTGCCAGCCCTGTGCCAAGCACCGTGAGGTCTACATAGGTGAATCAGACTTGAATGCCACTCTCTAGGAGCTCCTAGTCTGGAAGGCAGGTCATTTGTGTCCTCAGGGCACCTCTGGATGACGTGTGATCAGGGCCATAAAAGCAGGGTGCTGCGGAGGAAGAAAGAGTTCTGAATATTACAAGAAAGAGCATAATTATTCTAGGCCCTCGCAGCTGAAAAACAGGAGAAATATATGCGTAACCCATATAATATGTGCATGCAAAAAAAATAAGAAAATGTGCATGTAATACTTTGGAATTTGCATTTGTCAAAGCCCGTGGAACTTAGAACACAAGAACTTACCTCATAGAACCCAAGGTTAGTGTTCACACTTTGTGCTGTAAAGTTCTATGGGCTTTGACAATCAGTGTATGTACATATATCTATGAGTGTTTATGTATTGCTCTGTATTTATATGTGCTAAACCTAAATTCATACTGACGTTTCAACTCCAAGCCATTGATTACCACAGGCATCATTTTAGCCCCTTTCCTTATCTAGAAATGGTTACTCCAACAGTGAAAAATCTGATTTCCACCATTCACCATCTATTTACCTAATTGTTCAATGCATGGATGTATCCCTGGATGGGAGTAATAGAACTTGCACCTCTATAGGAAATTACTTTATCAAGTAGTTGATACTTTATCAAGTGCTTATGCAGTTTCATTTGCCTTTAGTCTTTTTTTTTTTTAATTTGGTCCTGGGGATTGAACTCTGGTCCTTGAGCTTGTGCAGCAGGTGGCAAAACCACTGAGCTAAATCCCCAGCCCTTTTGCCTTTAGTCTTACAAACTTTTTTCCAAACCTACGTGGGCAACATCTTTTCTTCTATCTTCTTCAGTAAGGTTGTAATATAGTTAGATTCTTTTGTCATGATCTGCTTCCAACCTTGGACACCTCCTAATCTCCTGTGTGTTTTTGAAAAATTTGGTAAGATCAATGTGTACTCTTTGTGCTGTAAAGTTCTATGGGCTTTGACAAATGCAACTTCCAAAGTATTATGTGGATGTGTTCCTCTTTTTTTTTTTTCTTTAATACATGCACATTAAAAATCTGTACTCAACCAGGTCGGACCAACTAAGTATTGTTTGTATCTCTAGTTTGAAGTCTGGAGAAATTAAGTGACTTCTTAAAGGTCTCATTGCTTTCAGTGACATCAGGACTTGAACCTGAGACTTTGACTAAAGTGTGTGGGGTGTCTTCTTGTATCATCAACATGTCCAAAGGGGAGCAGAGGGTGTGGTTGGGCAAAGAAGGTGATGTTTTGGGCACAATAATTTTGAACTGTTTCAGAGACTTCCTGTCCTTCTGGGCAGGAACTTAGAAGGAGGCTGTGACTTGTACAGAGTTTTTCTGAAACTTTCAAGCCCTAATGATTTCCTCATTTCAGAGTTCCTGTCCCTCTCCTATATTACAACTTATTCTGGTCCACGGTACTTAGGATAAAACCCCAAAATATTACAAGGTTCTACCTAAGCTGGTCCTGCCTGTGTCTTGAAACTTATCTTAACCCACATTACCTAGTGAGCTCCGGTCCTTCTGGTCATTCTTATGTCCCTAAATGGATTAAATGCCTTCCTGTGTTAGGGCTTTCATAAGGCTGTTTCCTCGATCTGAATATGTCTCCCTCTTTCCCTTCTCTCTTTGCTCAACCAGCTTCTGTATAGCTACAGATCTAAGGTCAAATGTCACTTTTTTGTGCCTCAGTTTTCTGACTTGCAAAATGGTACTGTTAGTAGTACTTACCAGATCAGATTGCGATAAAGATTAAATGAATGATACAGATTAGAACAGCGTCTGAACACAGTAACTCCATTTTAAAGTTGGTATTAAGGCTTTTATTATTTTGAGTATTTTACATTATTATCATCATTTCTTAGGATGGTCTTTCCTGCCTCTGCAGACTAAGTTTGGTTCCTTCATGTTTTTCTAGCACCCTCTCCCCCTCGCTTGTAGTACTAATCACAATTATAACTAAATAACCAACTATGTAATTACTTATTTAATGTCTGTGTCCCACATGAATATGTAATCTCCTTGAGGAGAGGGACTCTGTCTTGTTCATCACTTACCTACAAAGCCTGGTGTGGGTGTCGCTTGTCCATGGTAGGCTTTCAGAAAATGTCCATGTGAACGATTGTGTGGATGTCTTCCTGCAGAAAGAGGTATGAATGGGCCCAATGTGAACTAACCATTTCAGATGTGGAAAACTTGAGGCTCAGAGAGTATTAGCTTACTTCCTGCCTGCCTATTAGTGACATGCAGGACGTGTCATGTGGAAAGAGCTACATAAGTGAACACAAAAGGATGAAGTTACAGTTCTGGGCTGTGGTTGTGTGGGGGAGGTCAGTGTTTCCAAGACTGGCCCGGGGCCATCTGGGTCCCATCTCTGCATTATATTTGTAGACAACCTAGAGTCAAGTGTTAGTTTTATTAGTGTTATGCCAGTTCTGCTATTAATTTCTCCAATCCCAGCTTCTGTCTGATCATTCTCCAGATGGGGGCATTTGATTAGATAATCCCTGATATTCTTGGGGGGGGGGTCTGTTGTCTCTCTGTAGAGCCTGCCCCTCAAACTGGACTGAATCCCTGTCCTTGGAGGACTCTATTGAGGCCAGCAGGACAGACAGACCAACTTTGGTCCACTGGCCCTTCTTTCTTTCTAGAACCAGGATGGAGCCTGTGTCCAGTCAGTATCTGTGATTCTGCACCAGGACCCTCGGAGACAGGTCACCCTGACCCAGGCAGGGGATGTCCTCCTGTTTGACCAGTACAAGATCACCCCACCCTACACGGACGGTATGGCTCAAGATAGTCAAGAGAGCTATTTGGGTGCTGGCTGTTCAGACCTCTTTTGCTTCCTCTGGCCAAAAGAGCTGCTGCATGGGCAAGAACTCACATTGTAGTGGTGAGGTGGGTCAGGCTAGGGGACACTTTGGTTCCAGGAATGTGGATTTCTAAAATGTATCTTTGTCCCCATTCCAACGTGACAGTGGTCTCATGGCAGTATGGTGATTTCTTTTAGCATCAGCCCTTGGAGGAACTGTTTCCCATCCCTCTACTCAGTACTTGTTTATTACCCTCCCTGATTCCACAAAGGGCTAATGGGAAGTGCAGAAGAAATACATTTAATGGAAAAGGCAAATCTATTAAGATGTAAAATCCAGAACAAAAGAAAATTTGTAAGGAAGGCCAGGCAAAAAAGAATAGCTACTCAAGATTCAGAAGAGTAGGGATGCATCGGGTTTAAAACAACACAGGAAACAGGAACCATAAAAAATGTGAAACCTGTTACAATTGGATCCAAACTTTAAATTTGCGACAGTTAAATCTGTATTTGTATAGTAGGTTTCTTGGTGACCATTCTGAAGCACATGGACAGTTACAGAATTCTCCTTGTGCTTGAGAAGGATACATGCCAGTTCCTTAGGGAGAGCAAAGCTGTAACTGCTATCACTTGATGTTAAATTTCTCAGCCCAGGCTTCATGGTAGGTTCCCTGGGTCCTGATTTTATCACTGAACAGGGGTTTAGTGTTGCAACCCTGTGGCAGGGTTTCCCTGGGGTGCTGGTGGTGGGTCAGGGTGTGCACAGACTGAACTTACTCTTTCTGGATCTGTACCCAGATGCCTTTGAGATTCGGAGGCTGTCCTCTGTGTTCCTTCGGGTAAAGACCAACGTGGGTGTACGGGTGCTCTATGACAGAGAGGGATTGCGGCTCTACCTACAGGTGGACCAGCGATGGGTGGAAGACACTGTGGGCCTCTGTGGCACCTTCAATGGCAACACGCAGGACGACTTCCTGTATGTACCTCTGACCCAGAATTGGAAGGGGAGGATGGGCCTCTTATGGCCAGTTATCCAGAGGCACTGCCTGAAAGTGTGTTTGCTATGAGCCTTCACTGTGGCTGATGCGTACCATTAATTATTTCCATTAATTATTTAGTCTTCTCTATGTAAACTGAAGTGTTTCTTTAAAGCTCTGGTTCAGTGGTCTGTGTGCATAAGTATCACTTGGGGCGCTTGTCTAATTATGATTTCTGGGTCCTATTTCTCAAGAATCTGATACAAGTTGGGGCCCAAGTATCTAATTTTTTATTAGCACTACCATGATTCTAGTACACAAGGTCTATGGACTACACCTTAAGAAATATTATTTTTATAGTGAGGTCTTAAAATCTCAGACTGAGTTTGATTTGGCTCATGGTTTTGTTTGACTGTGAATGCTTTTAGGTGAATGCAAACCCCCAGTGAGCCAAGGACACCAACATTCCTACTTCCTATCCCAGCAGGACAGTGTAACCTATATACCTTTCTTACCTGATGCTTGAAGGCTTTTGAGTTTGCAATCTCTGAGGCCCCCCACCCCATATTCAGAGGAAGGCTGTTTCCAATCAGGTACCAGAGTTGAGAAACTCTTTGGGCATGGCCACAATTTAAGAATTTGAGAGAATACAGGAGTCGAGCCTTCCAGAAAAGAGAGCAAAAGAATGATATTGAGGTTTAGAGGTTCTGGCCAGTCCTTCAAGTTACATGCATTGGGCACACAAGAGAAATTCTTTAGCCAGAAATAAGAATTTGCTGTGAAAATCAAGAGCAAGAAAACACAGAGAGCTTTTCGATACCTGTACACTTACAAATGTAGCTTCTACTCTCTGATTTGTCTGCTAGAGCTGATAATAGAACAGCTGTCCAGAGTGGTGGGGCAGGCATTGGTTTCATGCGGTATTGCTGTTTATAACATGAGTGTCCTTACTGGATCCATGACATGAACATGGTGGGTGCCAGGCACCACTCTACCACTTCCGCTAGGGTGTGTGACTCTTGAAGACAAGTCATGTCCAGGAAGCATGTTTGTCCCCCCTCTTCTTTCACTGCCAAAGGGAGTGCTAAGGAGTTTTCAGGGAGGGAAGAGAGACAAAGCCAGAATCCGTGAGGTTTAGATTCTTCATGATGTCCCTATTTTTCTTTCTGATATGAAGAGCTCTGGGTAGACACTGAAAGTATAGAGTCCTAAGTCCATTTTGAGCTTTTTGGGACTGTTAAATGTGATGTGTGTATGTGCACACCCATAATTCTACGTGTTTGAATGTGGTTGTGTAGATATAGTTCTGATACAGTTGTGACATACACAGTTGTGATATCTATATCTATATATAGATATAGATATAGATAGTTGGGATATAGTTGTGCTCTGTGTGTATGTGTGGTGGGGATGTGTGCAAGTAGTGTATATGGGCCCACGTGGGTTACACTTTTAGGTGAGTACACATGTGCTTGGAGGGTATGCTCTTGCTTAGTCTATGTCTGCATGTATGTATCTACAAGCAAGTGAGTACGTACCTGGGTCCATAGATGGTCTATGTGTCTCCTGGGTCCACATGGGCAAGTGTGTGAATATGGCTATGCCATGGCTGCAGGTCCCCAGTTGGAGTACCTGAGAGCACCCCACAACTCTTTGGCAATTCTTGGAAAACACTGTCTGCCTGCTCCCCACTGGTCCCCGGCTCCCCACTGGACCCCTGTGATGTGCACTTGCAAGCCGGTGAGGTGGAGCGAAGGACGGGCACCAGGGAGTGGGTGGGATCAAACTGCTTTGAGAGATAAGAAGGGAACTCTGGGTATGAGGATGCTGGCCAAATTTGTAGAAGTGGTAAGACAAGGGGGAGCTGCAGGGAGGGACAGGAGAGTGGTGAGGGCCAGGTAGATAGGAAGCTTCATGTTCTACCAGTCATGTGCATTCACCCCCCTTTATACTGGTCCCTCAGCTCAGAGCAAAGGCCAAAGTCCCCACTGGGCCTCCAGTCTCTGCCCGCCCCTTACCTCGCCTCCTCCTGCTCTGCTCTGGCCATGCTGACCTCCTTGCCGCCCTTGTTGCACGGCCAGGGCTCTGTCTTCCCAGCCCTCTGCAGTGCTGTTCCTTCAGGGAGACACAGGCCTCACCTCTTGTGAATTTTTGCTTACACATCACCTTCTCGTTGAGGTCATTGTGGCCACCTGAGTTAAAACGGCAATTGCCTGTCCCACCCCACCTTGCACTCCCTATCCTCCTTCCTACCTTTCTCTCACTCCTTAGGTTTCTCACCTTGCAATTTACTAAATTTGCTGTATAAATTGTTCCCTGATTGACTCCTCTGATGAGAATGTAAGCTACCGGAGGATAGGGCTTTGGGAGGGTTGTGTTCTCTACTGAGTCTGTCTCTACTTGATAGATTCACACCAGGCACAAGGTAGTATCATTATAAGAGTACGCGCGCGCGCACACACACACACACACACAGACACACACACACACACACACACACACACACACCTGGTGCAATCCCTGAGCCATGGGGAGGGAGGGAGGGAGAGGGTGAGTCCCGGGCACTGGAAATGCCAGCCCCTGACGGCCTCACCCGGTCTTCCCGTGCTAGCCTCCTACGCGGTGCAGGCCTGCAGTGTGCTCACTGGGGAGCTCTTTGCTCCCTGCTCTGCATACTTGAGTCCTGTGCCCTACTTCGAGCAATGCCGCCAGGACACCTGCCGCTGCGGACAGCCCTGCCTGTGCGCCACACTGGCCCACTATGCCCGCCTTTGCCGGCGCCATGGGCTCCCAGTCGACTTCCGTGCTCGCCTGCCAGCCTGCGGTGAGTGTCCACCTGTGTGTGACAGGGAGGGTGGGCTCCTCCATCCTGACACCCCTCACAGCCTGCTCCTCTTCCTGTGCTCCCCACCTCTGCCAATGGCCCCTGTCCCTTGTCATCTGGGACATGACCCTCAGGACTCCTTCGCTTACCCTCACCTGAGTCTATTTCCAAGGCTATCAACCTAGCCAGTTCCAAATCCACTCACTTCTTACCACCTCCTCTGCCAGCAGCTTCATCAGAGCCACCTCACTGCAGCAGAAGGAGCTCAGAGGCCCTCAGGCTTGAGTGCATGCATGCCTTAATGTGCATGAGCCACCCTACCCTGGCTCTGCTCCTCCCCAGGTCTCAGTCCTCAGCCTTGGCATGGGTTTCGACTCTCAGTGAGCTTTTAGCTGACATTTAGAATAAATGGAAAAGGCACTGCCCTGGGAGTCAGGAGGCCTGGGTTCCAGCCTTGCAGGGGCTCGCTATGTGTTCCTGTACAAGACCTTAGCCCTCTCTGAACCAGTTTCTTCAGAGATAACTGGACTGAACCAGTGCTGGGTGCACATTAGAGCACCATGAAAATTTTTATTTAAAAAACGCACACATCTGGGCCACATCCAGTATCAACTACACTAACCTGTCTGGTGCGGGGGGTCGGGGGCCAGATTCTTTTCAAAGCTCCCCAGCTGGCTTTGATGCACAACTTGGGTTGAGAGCTACTGGCTCTGACCTGTGGGAGGCACTGTGTCTGGCCGTTCTAGTGTAGTGAGAGGCAGGGATTCTGGAGCCAGACCCGGATTCTCATCCCTTTGACCTTGAGCTGCGGTATGACCTTGGGCAAGTGTCTTGTCTTCTTTGGTTCTCAGTTCTCCCCGTCAGGACGACAGCCCTCCCCACACAACTGTGGAGATGAGAGAAACAAAGCACTGCCCCCTTCCCACTTGTAGCACTGTCCTGTGCGGCTACCAAGGAGTACAGCCCCTGTGTGGCCCTGTGTGGACAGACCTGCCAGGACCTGGCCAGCCCTGAGGCTTGTGGGGTTGATGGTGGTGCCGACTTCAGCAGGGATGAGTGTGTGGAGGGCTGTGCCTGCCCCCCGGACACCTATCTGGACACCCAAGTTGACCTCTGTGTCCCCAGGTGAGTGGGCCAGCTTGACCATTGATGGATCAGGCGGGGAGATGAGGCCAGCGGTGTCCAGGGCCTCTGAGACTAGGGAGTTGTACTCAGCCCTTTGTGTCTCGGGTGTGTGTCACAGTCGCAGGCCACACCTTGGTTGGTGAGGTGAGTTGAGGGCTCTCCTCTGGCCTCCCTCCCAGGCCTGTCCTCGGTCTTGGCTCTTCAGGTCACTCAACATGGCTTCCCCACAAGGCAGAGCAACCTACAGAGCCAAGAGGGCCTCTCTCTCCTCATCTCCTCTCCTCTTCTCCGAATATTTATTTATATCCTAGTTGATTCTGCCTATTTCTAGGTCCTGGTCATTTAGCAATGAGCCAAGAGTCCTGCCCTCAGGTTTGATTTCCAGGCTAGTGAGGCAGACGTGTAAAAATGTTGGGTGGTAACCAGAGCCACTATAAGTGGAACGAGGGCAGGAAGTCCTGTTTGTTATGTACACGAAGTGAGCAAGGGGTGGGGACTCCTCTGTGGCAGTTGCAGCTGAGCTGGACCAGAAAGAAGAAGGATCCAGGCTGAGGACACGGCCTGAGGCCAGCTTGACTTTTCAGCTGGAGGGCACAGTGGGAAGAGAGGGTAGGCAGTGACCCTACATGATCCTATGGCAACTGGCAAGGCCTTTGGTGACCTCCCAGCCTCAGTTTCTTTATCTGGAAAATGGTACACTCATTGATGGTTTTCCAGTGGTGAGGGGCTGGAGGGGGATCCTTCTATGGAGTAAATAGGAGTCACTGGGATCCTTTTTTGTAAAGGTTTTATAGCACCCCCCTTGTGAGATCCAGATGTGCACTCCATCCAGATGTATATTCCATCCCTTCGGATGACCCGTGGCCAACAAAGGAGGTCTCTGTGGTCCCATAGGAGAGAGAGAAGGTAGATGAGAAGTACTGGGGTTGGTTGAGCTCAGGGGTCCCTTTCAGGCCTGGCCTTCTCTGCTCGAAGGCCTGCACATGCCCAGAATTGGCAGGTGCTCTGGGAGTTGCATGATGAGGAGACACAGCCTTTGCCTCAGATAAGTCAAAGAAGGCTCAAGAGACAGCATACGAATCCCTGCCTCCAGGATCCCCGGAAGGAGTTGATGAGATAATGTCTGTGACAGCCTAGCCGGGCGTCCCCACCAAGTGTCAAAACATGTAATGATCAGTACCGCACAGGGACTGAGCAGGCAGAACAGATGCTGGGTGTGAATGACCAATGCCACCGCATCAGGACACCACATCAGAGGAATTCCTGCCCTCCCCAGTATCGCTTGGGGTCCAGAAGTGAAGTCCTGTTCTTGCCACTTTTCCAGTCCTCTGACCAAGTGGCTGGCTTTGTGAGGGGCAGAGACCAGTGGGGCTGTCCTTGTCTAAGCTCGGTAACGGGCCTGGATCTGAGACTCAGTCCCGAGCTCTGTCCCTGATGCCAGACTGGCTTTCCCGCTTTCATGTCTCATGTCACAGTAGCTGCCATTACTTCTCTGTGTGTCCTCCTGTCCGTCCCCTTCTGGCTGAGGGTGGGCTCTCTGGCCTTGGCAGTCTCTGCCCTAGGTCCCAAGTCTGCTTACTTTTCCCTGTTCTTGGTTTTTGTAGGAACCAGTGCTCCTGCCACTTTCAGGGAGTGGACTATCCCCCCGGGGACAGTGACATCCCATCTCTGGGCCACTGGTGAGCTCCCTGGGCACCGGCCTCATCGTTCTTTCTCTAAATGGAAGCACTGACTGCAGACAATGTGGCTGAGTGGAACTTTCCATGAAGTGATACCTATGCTTCTGCCCCCACCATGTGGGGGTGGGGGGCAGTGAGTGGGCTGTCTGTGGGAACTTTGCAGTGACCTGAGTGTGGTGACATGGGCTGTGCAGGTCCTACAGTGAGTGGGTCAATTAACCCGTGTCCTCCTCTCTGCAGCCACTGCAAAGATGGAGTCATGAGCTGTGACAGCAGAGTCCCAGGTAAGGATAACTGGGACTCCCATGGAAAGGACAGTAGGGGGCTGGAGTGTCCATCAGGATGGGGAGAGCCCACCCCAGCTCTTGCCATACCCTGGGTAGAAGGTGGCATCTGGAAACCCTGTCCCAACCTCAGCCCCACTCTGAACATTAGAGGTGTCTGGACAGTGTCTTGGTCCCCCCCGGGCCTTGGATCTTCTCAGTGTGAATGTTAAGTGTCTACTGAGGCCAACTCCCAGCCCAGTGCTGGATGTGGGGTCACAGAGTGAGGGCAGAGCCCGGGCCTGTGAGACTCCCAGACAACACAGATTGGGAAGGGAGTGGAACAGTGTGGGTCAGTCAGCCTGTGGGGGCCTTGGAGGTGGGGTAGAGCCTGGGTGTTGCTTCATTCTGGAAAGGCCTCCTGCTGTGGAAGACCTTACTAAGGATGTGGATTAGCATGGAGAGGATTGGAGAATAATCAGTCAGGTGGTTGGAAGAAGGGATTTGAGGTTCAGGGAATATGAATTCAAATCCTGATGAGTTCTCACTGGCTGTGCAGCCCTGGGGTACTCACTTTACCTCTTTGAACCTTCATGTCCTCTTTTGTAGGTAACCTAGGTTCCTAGATCCACACCCATGTTTTGTGTGGATTCCTGAATGTGGTTTTCTTTTGGCCACTTTGGTTTTGGACTTCTGGCTTCTCTGGGACATGGCTGTTCCTTTGTCTGCCCCATCCTAGTCTGGGTGTAGATCTCAAATACTTTTATTGATTTCCATAAAAAGATCACTTACACAAAGTGCAAATGTGCATGGCAGGCTTCATTGGAGAGAGAGAGGGAGAGAAGGAGGGAGGGAGGGAGGGAGAGAGAGAGAGAATGGATTTGTCAAAAAAAAAAAAACAGGGGACAGGAAATTGACTCTCCCTGTTGTTAAAGTCCTCTGGTCACTCTGCCGTGTTGCTTGGCTGTCCTCTTTCTGGCTTTTCTCCTGGTCCCTCTGGAGTTCTTCCTCTTACTCCATGACATCTTTTGAAAGCAGAAGTGGCTTCACTGCATTATACGGGAAGAGGAGGGGAGATAATAATACGCCCCAGAGTGGTTTCAGGATTAAATAAGATGATACACAGGTGGCACCTAGAGCTGCACCTGATGTGGAAGACATGTTCAGTACTGGGTCCTGATAATGTCCCTCCTTCCCCCTGTGACACTTGTATGGGAACCCAAGCAGTGCTCCAGGAGCTGCCCATCTCTCCTTGTCTCTTCCAGGTGCAGGGCCCCAGCCCTTCCTGGTCACCCCCACAGCATAAACCCAGGCTCAGGGATACAGCAACTCCCTCTTTTCTTTCTTTTTTTAAAATTTTTATTTTTCCCCCATTAAATTTATTGGTACATTTTAGGTATAAAATACAGTTACGTTCATCATTGGGATCTTGTACCATTACATGAGTCTCTTGGTTCTTATTTTTAACCTCCTTCTTTTCTTCCAGAGGCAGCCTGCCCGGTGGGCCAGGTCTTCGTGAACTGCAGTGACCTGCACACAGACCCCGAGCTGAGCAGGGAGAGGACGTGTGAGCAGCAGCTGCTGAACCTAAGTGTGACAGCCCGAGGCCCCTGCCTGTCAGGCTGTGCCTGTCCCCAGGGGTATGAACCCATGTTGCCATGGTTTCTCCTGCCTGAAGGCTGGTGGACTGCAGGGTGGAAGGCTTATAGGGAGGTACTAGCCCAGAGCAGCCATGATGCTTATGGGAAGCCTGGGAAAGAGCAGAAGCTTAGGGACCCAAACTGGGAAGGATTCTGTCTGGCTCTGTTCTTCCCCGGTGATCTTGAATGAGGGAGACTCTTAAGGCTCTCAGAGGCTCCATTTTTCTCTTGGAAAATGGAAAACAGTCACAATGTCTACATCTTATCAAGTGGATTAAGTGAGGTTCTGGGAGTCTCTCCAGAGAGACCAGATGGGTTGAAGACCCTGCAAGAGAACCCCATGTTTTGGTGCCCCACATCTTCCCCTGCACAGTTCCAAGCAGAGCCCTTAGGTAAAGGACTAAGTGACTCTGGAATGCTCAAGAAAACTCCACCCAATGGGAAGAATCTCCCTACCAAATCCCCAAAATGCTGCCATTTGCACCATGCTAGAGCTCCAGGAGTTGGGTCTTGGGGCTGTACTTCCTGTGTGCTCTGTATACAGGGGGCTGAGGGGCCTACACCCAGCTCTGCCAATCAGTGCTCATTCCTAGTTTTGGGTCAAAGAGACCATTGGGCATCCCATGCCTTGGCAGCACCAGATTGTGCCTATCAGCCTATACAGAGATTGGTGATCAGCTGGGAGTCCTGGCCTAGGCCTAGCAGCCATGGAAAATGAGGGGAGGGTTAGGACTTCTAGGGTGGGAAGGCAAGGGCACAGAGTTTTGCTGTCTGTAGGACACTTTGATGTTATTCCCTTCTTAATCTTAGAGTAGCTATGGGAGGGAAGAGGGGCAGATCCTTATTCTGATTTTGCAGAGTAAGAGACAGACCAGGCAGAGGATGGAGGGAAGTAGTCTGGCCTAGGGACCACAACTCAAACCTGAGTCTCCTTACTCCAAAACCTGTCCTTTGTCCAGACCAGGCTAGTTCTGTAAGGTCTGGGGTCTGGTCCTCTACACAGAGGTCACAATTGTGGATTATGTCTCTTCCTGGGCCAGGTTATCCTCAGTGAACCTGCATAGACTCCTAGGCCTGACCTCCTGCTACCACGTAGGCCCCAGACCTTGTCACAGAAGGCCTCCTGGGGCACCATCCTGCATGTACAAGCTCACCTTAGACTGAGGTCAGAAAAAGCCAGGGCTCTGGGGTCAGGAACATGGTGCCAGGGAGGACTGGCCCCTGGCCTTGGTTCTGCCCGTGATTCATTGGGAGGTGTGTCAAATGCTTTCTAGGGAACCTATGCACATTCCACGGGCTCACAAAGGGAAATTGTTAGACTCCATTAACGAGGAAAGTGTAGGCATTTCCCACCACCTTGGAATGTCCTCTTGCTGGAAGGGACTCCCAAAGATGCCTACTAACTTCCTCACTGACTCCAGCTGGGGACCCTCTGGGCCCTCAGGTGCATGTAAGAATCTTTGGGGTGCTGTGCATCGCTCCAAAGAACACTGGGGCCATTGCAAGTATTGGAGCTGTCTATGCCACTCCATATTTCTTTGTATCTGGGTGCTGATTCTAAGGCCCCGGAGCCACCGGGCCATGAAGCACAGTGGTTATGAGCACAGACTCTGGAGTCAGGCTTGAATGGTGGCTCTACCTGCTCTATGGCTTACTGGGTGGAGTAGTTAACTACTCCGAGTGAGTCTCCATTCCCTCTTCCGAAAAAGGCACACAGCAAACACTCTATGCAAGCGATCGCTTCGTCTTTCCTCAACTGGATCCCATGCATTTGTAAACATACCCGACCCTGAAGGGATCCTGGAATGAGTAATTCCCTAAAAAAGATAAAGGAGAGGATGTTCTACAAATTGAGGGCAAATGGAGGAAGAGGCTACAGCCTCAAGTCTTTCATGTGTTCCCCTTTGTGGGTACATGGCAGATCTGCTGAGGACAAGGAGTGAGTGGTAGACTGTAGGTGACAGTCAAGACACCACAGAAAGTGGCTAGAGTCAGGGTTAAGGCTGTGAGCCAGCCTGTTGTTGGTGTCTGACATAATTGTGGGGGTAAGGGGAGGAAGGGACAATATTTAATATGTATCTACTTGGTTCTGGGTACGGTGCTCGTAATGACCTGGGGAGAATGATACCTTTACATACATTTTATGTGTGGATTTACAGGGTACAAAGTTTACATGGCTTCAGGTAAAATGAATTAAACATATGCTATTTTTCTGTTTCTTCCCACAATTATAATGAAATGTTGGCAATGGAATTCAAATGTACAAATTCTCAGGGACAAAGAGAAAGGAGGCGGGTGACAGTGGCACAAGATAGGGCTGTACCTTTTGAAGAGTCAGCCTGATCCTGCAGAGCAGAGGCTGGCAGCTTGCAGAGTGAAGGCTGGGGAGAAACAGGCTGCTGTGATGTGGTCCTCAGGAGCCGTAGCTGCAGGCATCACTGGAGGGGATGCTGGGAAGAAGACAGGAGCACGAGTTGAAAGTCTGCACAAGCAGCAGCTAAACTTTCAGATCCCTTCCTGAACCTGGTGGAGACCCTTTCCTAGCCCATCTGACAGGAGAAGGGTGTGAAGAAACCAAATCAGACACATCGATCTCAGAGGCTCTGAAGAAGAGTATGACACAGAGTGCAAATGGAGGCTGAGCGCTCTTCCCTGGCTTGGTTCCCAGGACGGTGGCCTGGAGACTTTTGAGAGTCTCCTAGATGAAAGGAGAGTCTTCCCTTGAAAACTGGGTTGGGCCAAGAAAGGAACCAAACCAAACCAAAACAAACCTGACCTTCTGGATTTTCCAAACAAAACAATGGGTCCCACTTAAATTGGAGTTTCTTTAGGTCACTATCACACTATCTTGATTTCTGAAGCTTTATAGTTAGTCTTGAAATCTGGAAAGTGGTAGGCTTCCAACTTTGTTCATATCCAAAGTTGTTCTACACTTCAAATTTCCATGTAAATTCAGAATCAGCTTGTTATTTTTCCTTCCTTCCTTCCCTCCCTCCCTCCCTCCCTCCCTTCCTTCCTATTTTGTAGCACTGAGGGCTGAACCTATAGCCTTTACACTGGACTATATCCCCAACCTATTAATTAATTAATTAATTGATTAATTTAGAGACAGGGTCTAAGTCACTAAGTTGCCCAGTCTGGGCTTGAGTTTATGATCCTCCTTCCTTAGCCTCCCAGAGTGCTGGGATTACAGGCATATGCCACCAGGCCTTGTTTAGCTTGTCAGTTTCTACAAAAACTCGTCTCTAGGATTTGACTGAGTTTGTGTTAAATCTACAGGTTGTTTTTGAGGGAAGAACTGACAACACCAATGAGTTTTAATCCACAAGTATGGTATTATTTCTCCATTTACTGGGTCTTTTTTTTTTTTTTCATTTCCCTCACTAATATTTCCTAGTTTTCACATAAGGTTTGCCATTTTGTCATTGAATTTACTCATAGGTCCTTTAGTGTTCATAGTTGATATTGTAAATATTTTTATTAATTTTTTTGTTCATTGTGGGAATATAGAAATACAATTTACTTTTGTATACTTGCCTGGTATTCTGTAATTTTGCTAAATTCATTTGCTTACTTCTAATGGCCTTTCTGTAGATTCTTCGAGATTTCAGTGTATGATCGTGTCATCTATGAAGAAAAATAAATTTTCTTCTTTATTTCTAATCTTTACATTTTTCCCCCTTGCCTTGTAGTACTAGATATTATTTCTACTTTCCAATAGAAATGATAGGAATGAAAACTGTTGCTTTTCCCTTCATTTTAGGGCAAAGCAATAAGTCCTTTGCCATTAGTGATAATATTAGCCATAAGGTTTTTTTTTATTACTTAAATTCCTTTATTGGTACATTGTAGGTATACAACACAATTACATTTCTCATTGGGAATTGTACCTTTACATGATGCATCTTGGTTCTTATTTCTTCCCC